TGCATACCTGTCTGACAGCCTTTGTGGCACCATGTATGTTCACCAGCTTTGCCAGATAGTGCTCTTGTGGACACACTTGTTGTGGGCTTTCAGAGGGTGGACCTTGATTGGGATACCGTACTTTGTAGGGAGCGCTTCTTCCACCGTTCTTGCTCTAGCTGCTCCCACACAAGGTGAATCACATCAGCAATGCCTATGCCCTAGAAGACACCCAAGGGTCGACAATTGTATCAATGGAATGTCATCAGACAGAAATAATACATTGCTCATGAGTTAGTAAACTAAGTGCTCCTTGGCCTTGGCAGTTACACGTATCCTGCTTGAGCTTAATAGCCATACATTAAAACCACCACCGCAGCCTAAACACTTTGAATGTTAATACTGCAGATTTGAATATTGGAATAATCCAAAGCTTGACAAAGGGGCCCTACCTTAATTAGGGTTGTTAAACTGTGATTGGGGAAAGTTTTAAAGAGGACATATTATGCTTATTTTCAGGTTCATATTTGGTGCCTCCACTGTTACAGGTTTACAGGCTTTCATTTTCAAAAAACTCTCTATTTTTCTCGTACTGCCTGTGCTGCAGCACCTCTTTTCACCCTCTGTCTTAAACCCAAGCCCAGTCTGCTCTGATTGGTTAGCTGGCTCTGTTGGTTGGTCAACCGCTAATACCTCATTCACACCAACGGTGTTTCAGGGCCGGTTCGGAGCTGGAGCTTGAAAAGCACCGGGTTTTCCTGTTCACACCGCAGCGGAGCAGCCTCTTAGCTCCGGAATCTAGTTCGTTTCAAGCACCAAAAAATTGTCCGGCTAGAGCAAAAGCACCGCATACGTCACGCTTACGTCGAGGCGGGGGCGGGGCGGGATGAACTCCTGAACAACAACAAAAAGCCAGCGTTTTATCCAGTTTGTACACAACGATGGAGAAACTTAATAAGCAGCAGTGGTCCACTGAAGAGACCAGCTACCTACTGGGGATCTGGTCTTCTGAAGAGGTACAGAGGAAGCTGGAGCACAATCGGCCATTGTTGTTGTTGACGGTGTCAGCTGTGAGGGGTTTCGGCGCGGTTTGGCTTTATGAAGAAGGCACGCTAACGGTTACGTCATGACGCAAACGATGACGCAATGACGCAGCACCAGTCGGACTCTGGGCAGTGTAAAAAGAGCCGGAGCTAAACCGAAGAACCGGTTCTGAACCTGAAAAGCTCTAGCACGGAGCTTGAACCGGAGTTGCGTTGTGAATGAGGTATAAGAGATCCCCCTTTGGGATTTTAGCCATTGCAGACCATTCACATGCACAAAAACCTCTATAAAACACTACAGGCAAGAGACCCCCAAAAAGCATAATAGGACCCCTTTAACAAACTCAATAGATACCAAGCAGCTTTTTGAGTTGTGAATTGAAACTAGTACCTGTATGTGTTGATGTTGTTGAGCCCCAACAGAGCTCTGAGTCCCGAAATCTGTATCCCAGAATCCTCCAGATTCAAACAAAACCTTCTACCGTCAGCTCCACCCTGGTCGAGAACGTTCTGCACAGCAAACACGTCCGATGGCTTAAAAGGAACTCCGTGAAATGTCAGGACCTCTGGAAGATTCTCTGCCAGATGAGCAACCAATCGTTGACTACCACTGTCTCTGCTACCATCACCATGTGAGGAACTCGCCTCATAAACATAGCGACAAGCCTCCAGGACCTGGGTGGGGCTCAGGTCATCATGGGAAAGACCTTCAAGGTGTGTTGTCACTAAAGCCTGCTTAGAGGCCACCATGTCTCTGAAGGTTGTCTCTGTGTATGAGTTAAACCTCTGAAGCTCTCTCCGGTTGTAGAACAACAGCCCGACCGCAAACCGCTGAGTGAGATCGAGCTCCTCCCTTTGAGGCCGCCGGCGACCCTTCTGGCCAGATTGGAAAGGGAGGGTCTGGAGGAAGGCACGGTCTGTTATTGTCCTGGGGAAACAGAATTTCAGAAAGAGTCAAGAGAAATCCAAAGAGGGAAGAGCACTGAAAGTGAAAGAGAAAAGATGCTGGGAATAGAAAGGAATACTCTTTCAATTTCAATCTAAGGCCAGGATACTATGACAGATTAAAAGCTGTACACACTCTTCAGATTACTCTATCAAATCAGCATAACCATCCATACATAGAAAAATCATGAAGCGTTTACCTTGACAGAGACAAATGGACCCCTGCAAGGTAACTCTGAAGGAAAGGGTTGGCCCACATCAGGATTTGGTCATCACTTGCATCAGCGCTTTCAGTTTCCGTCCTTCCCTTGCTTCCCCTCTTTTCACCAGTCTGTCTTGTTCCAGTTTTCCTTCTGTCCTCACTCTCACAACTTGAGACAACCTGCCTCGTCCCCAGATTATAAGAGAGTAAGAGCCCTGTTCTTTGGCCGAACGCCTTGACTGTTGCAGATATGGTCCGTCCTTTGGGGACGATGGAAGAGTTTGCTTTGATCCCCTCCCAGGCCAGAGAACTTAGCTGGGCCAGCAACTCCCTCTCCTGGGTTTTAACTACTTCCCAGCCATTACTCTTCATTTCCTCTCCGTCGTTGTTATCTTTCTCTGTTTCCTTTTTTTTTGAACCCCTTGTTCTTTGCGTGCGAGTGTTTTTATTACGCCTCTTCATTTGAGAACTACTTGAGCTTTTTGTCTGGGTTTCTTCAACTGATTTCTCAGATATTTCCGATGGAGTTTCAGCCTGTGAGTTTGTGTCCTTGCTGTCTTTTTCCACTTTCATACGAAGCACTTGATGGCAGAGCTCGGTTAACGTTCTCGGTAGGACCTCCAAACTTTTGCACTGTTCTAAAACCAAGCAGACCAAGCGACACAGTCCAGGGTTCCAGCACAGGAGATGTAGATAGCTGCAGTTTTTGAAGCAATCCAAAGCAGATACTCTGAGGTCAGGGTCAGTGAAGTACTGGGACAGATATGTCTGTACGTCAGTGGGGGTGAAGCCACACACCTCCAACAGGCTGTCCGTTCGGCGGAGAAGCTGGCTGGCTGTGCCTCTCGTTCGGGTAGAAAGCAGAAGTGTGCATCCTGGAAGGAGGACCCTCTGAAGGATGGCAGAGTACAACTGTTTTACTGTGAAGGTCTGTGCTTTACTGTCCTTCTGTAACGACGTTACTAAGTCCTTTTCTTGAGTCTGGAGAAGAATTTCATAGTCCCGCAACTCGCAAAACCCATCAAAAATGACAAGCACGCGCTTAGGGGCTGCAAGGATTTGAGCGTACACTGCGTTGGGGTCCTTGCAGGAAGGGGCAAAGGAGGAGAGGTTTAGTAAGAGGGTCTGAAGGCTAAAGGTAGCGTCCGTTAAAGAGAGTGCGTTGCTGTCTAACAAGAAGACAAAGTCAAACTGTGGGATGCAGTCTGTGGACCAGTCGAGACACAGTCTTCTTATCAGGGTGGTTTTTCCCATGCCAGCATTGCCTAGAAGCAAAATGAAGCGTTTTGGTTTGTCTCCATTTGATCTCTCAAAGATCTAATCGGAAAAAGAGAAACACATAGGTACCAGTGATTAGCAGCCAGTGATTTCAGCAATGTTATTGGTCTATTCACAAGTCATAAAAAAATCGAAATACTCATACTTCAAGATATTGGATTGGCTGTATTCAAAAACACCTCAATGGTTTTCTATTGAATTAAAGTGAAACTCTTACCTGACTCCTCCCCAACAAGCTTTTTTGTCGATCTGTATCTCCCATGATGACTATCTCTTTGTCCAGGGCTTTGTTTATGTTTTTTCCAGAGCGAAGAATTTCCCTCTGGCTCACTGGCACATCCACATAATGAGACGTCAGGCTAAGGCCAGCCTCCATAACCTGGCAAGCTTGACTCATGTGTGCTTTGGCTTCCTGGATGTAGTCCTTCACATCCTCTGAAAGAGTAACACCATTATTAGGAACCTGCTGCTCCACATAACATGAATTGTACTTTTAATAAATGTAACATTAAAGCAGAATAAAGGAATAAAAGCATGCAGTAACTTACGTGGAATATCAAGGACTGTGGGGCACTGAGGAAGAGGGGATTCCTTACACGTAGACGGCTCTAAAAGTCAACATTTCAAGATATTTTTACCATGAGAATAACTGTAGAAGGGGATTTATACATAATGAGAAAGACATATAGATGTACTCACCATTGCCAGGTGAGAGGGGTGAGGCACAAGGATGAGTTAAGGCTTTGCTTGCAGTGTCTGACAGAGATCCGCGTGGGGATGAACTCATTTGGACTGGAGCTACTTCACCATTCGCTACAAGAACCACAGAAGAAGAATTAAGGCAAAGCTAAAACTGTGTGATCATAAACTACACAAAACTCCCAGAATAAGATCTCTGCATACATGCACGTTAACTACTGATTTGTAGACACACATATATACATTTACTTCTGAGATTAAATGTTTTTCTACTCACTCGGGGAGAGGGGTGGCAGTTGAGGTTTGAATTGCGGCGATCCAGCAGGAACTAAATTAGAAATTCACGTTAGAATATGTACTGTTGATATAGTTTATGTGCATTAACAGACACACACGAGGAGCAAGGCAAGTCTATATGTTTAACACGTTTCATTTACATTGTGCAAATAATACAATAAATAGTAAGAGTAGTTTCATTAATATCTAACACAAAAACACATTTTAAAAGAATTAAAAACACAGATAGTGACAGATAGGGAGGAGTTGAGAAGGAGGAATTGATTGATCTATTTCAG